TGATAGTGGTGGTGGTGGTGGTCAGATTAGGGTTTCTCTGCCGTAGCTGCTTTGGGTTTTGCATTTAGTTTCAGTAGAGTTTTGGATCAGTAGAGTTTTGCATTTTGTTGAATTGAATCTGATAATGATTTTTTGAATTTGAGATTTTGTTTTTATTTGTTTTACTTGCTTCTTTTGTACGTTTATTTGGTCTGGTTTGATCTGGTTTTGAATCTGAGCATGATCAACTTCATTGAGCATGATCAACTTCATTGGAGGTGTTGAAGGTGTTGTTAACTGGCTAAAGAAAAAGGAAAAAAAAATAAAAAAAAGACCCTACTGCCTCGGTTCCGCTTCCAGCCGAGGCAGTAGAGGCAGAGGAACAATTTCGGTTCTAATAACCGAGACCGAATCGTACCATTTTTTGTCTCGTTTCAGAACCGAGGCATAAAGTCTACCACTTTTTACCTCGTCTGAATATGCTTCGGTTCAGGAATCGGTGCCTATCAGCGAAAATAACCGGTGCCATTTCCTTTAACTGTACTAGTGCGTGCACCCCAAAAACGACTTCTGGGTCCTGTAATAGATTACAATGTACTGGTAATCGATTACACAGTGTTGAAAATCGTGACCCCCCTGCACGACTTCATTGTAGTAGGCAAAAATGGTACTGGTAATCGATTACGACACTTCTGTAATCGATTACCAGTGTTTTAAGTGAGCAAGAACCACCCTAGTAAGCGATTACAAGCTTCTTGTAATTGATTACCAGTGTGTTTCGGTTGGGGTTTTGAAAATTTGTATGCAGTTTACATATATTATGTATTGTTGTGTTATATGAAAAAAGATGGTTATTATTTAATGAATGGAGACAAATTTGAAGAAAAGAGAAATAAAATATTAATAAGAAATATTAATAGTAATATATTAATAATCGATTTGATTACAATTGGGTAAGATTAAGAAATAACTAATGATTAAATGGACAATTTCCCCTATGATGACCTTCGTTGCGGCAGTAAGAGCATTTTTTTGGCTTATCTAGATTGGATTGATCCATTTCATTATGAATCATATTTGTAGATGGTCTTCCAGATGCCTTGCGTCGCATTTTAGGATCTGGTATGAAGTTTGGACCTGTATACACAGACCAATAATCTTGATTTTGGATTGGGTGAAATTGTACTTCATATGCCTTGAAAATGTTGTTAAGACTGTACACTGGATTGATTACTTGGGTTAGTGGGATATGCGAAAATGCACAAACAATGACATGATGACATGGGAGACGAGTAGCCTAGAAGTGACCACAATCACACCACCACTTGTTCAACAACAAACTGCTTCATTTGATGACGTCATGAGGGGGATCAACGATCTCCGAACATTTGTTGGGGACAACTTCAATACACTCAATGAAAGCATGAATGCAAGATTTGAACAATTGGAGCTGAACATGGGTGACCGCTTTGATACTATTGATGCTCGAGTTGAGCATGTGGAGCACGACATTGACTATCTGCGTTGTCATTTTGGTCCACATGATGGATCATCTTCCTAGATGCCTTTCAATGTGTATTGTCGTTTTTTTTTTAATTTAAGCTTCTTCCTTTTGTAATGCATGTTGAATTCAATAAAAGACTACAAATTTCATTTATGATTTTGTCTTACGATTTTGTCTTATCATTTACATGAAATTAATTACTCTTCCTATACATAACAATACATCACAATGTCATCAACAACAATGTGTGCTTACAAATATTCAAATCATTAAACATAATTAACTTCAACTAATGCTTTACAACACAATACAAATTTTCCAGGAGCTCACCATGTAAGAAGGCGCTTTTGACATCAAGTTGCATTACTTCCCATGCATTTTGAGCTGCTAGAGCTAATATCAGTCTCACAGTGTCAAGTCTTGCCACTTGAGCGAAGACTTCAGTATAATCTATTCCAAAACGTTGTGCATACCCTTTGGCCACTAGTCTAGCCTTATACTTCTCTATGTGGCCACTTTCATTAAACTTGGTCTTAAAAATCCACTTGACACCAATGGGTGTTACTCCCTCTGGTGGATTCACAAGTTCCCATGTATGATTCTTTTCTATTGTCGTCATCTCTGAATCCATAGCCTCTCTCCATTGTTAATTTGTGCACGCCTCTTTGAATGACTGGGGATCTCTAGACTCAGTCATCATCAGTGCCAGTAAATTTTCCTCTTCTACTGAAAAAGTGGTCTCGTAATCAAACAGCCGTGTTGGTTGTCTTCGTGATCTTGAACCCAAGACTTCTGTTGAGGAATCAATGTGTTCTGAATTGGAAGCTGGTCTGTGCACTTCGTTATTACTAGTTGGTATTTCATGTGATGTAGACTCTGCATGTTCATTTACTGGGTCTACTGTGACTGCTTCATTTTCTGCATTTTCATTCACTAGGTCTACTGTGACTGCTTCATTTTCCCAATCTAGAACTGCAGTTTTGCTTCGTTCTGTGTTCTCGTTCCATTTCCAGCTTTTATCTTCTTCGAACACTACGTCTCTACTCACGGTCACATGCTTCATAATAGGATCGAATAGTTTGTATGCTTTAGATTCGTCACTTACACCCAGCAGAATACACGGATGGCTTTTATCATCAAGCTTGCTTCTCTTTTGATCTGGAATGTGCACATGAGCAATGCAACCAAATGTTCGAAAATAGTCAACTCGTGGTTTGATTCCGCTCCGTATCTCCTCTGGGGTTCGCTGATCAAGGGTAGAAGTGGGACTTCTGTTTTGAACATGTATGCACCAACGCACTACTTCAGGCCAAAAGGATTTTGGGACCTGTTTGTAGTGTAACACAGCTCGTACAGTGTTCATGATGGTGCGATTCTTGCGTATTGCAACTCCATTTTGTTGAGGAATGTAGGCATCTATCAATTGCCTAGTGATGCCTTTTTGAGTGCAAAAATTCTCAAACTCCTTGGATGTGAATTCACCACCACGATCTGTTCTCAGACAAGTGATGTGGGTGTTGGCTTCCTTCTCAACACAGGCTTTAAAGCTCTTAAATGCAATGAAAGTCTCGGATTTTTCATGTAAGAAATAGACCCAAGTTTTTCTTGAGTAATCATCAATGAAATTTAATATGTACCTTTTGTTGCTGTGTGAAGCAGGCGAGACCGGACCACAAACATCGGCATGAATTAACTGAAGTTTTGCTGAAGCTCTCCATGAGCTTTGCTTTGGTATATTATCTATATGTTGCTCTCCACGAGCTTGTGACAGTGAAAGCATTCAATGAGTGCTTTATTTAATGGTTGTCGTCCTCGACCTCTCCCACGACCACGACTATATCCACGACCACGGCCTATTCCAGATTGATCATCATGAGTTATTTTCAATACTTGTTCCTCTGGTTGAAGACTTTGCATTCTTTGTTCATGGACAAGCAAACTGCCATGAAGTTCATCAATGCTAAGAGCGCTTAAATCGTTAGACTCCTCAATGGAACACACCACATAGTTGGATTTTAAAGTTAGCGATCGGAGTATCTTGTTAACCACTGTGCTAGAATCTACTTTCTCACCATTTGATTTTATTTTGTTAACTATACTGAGTGCGCGTCCTAGATACGCATCGACTTTCTCCCCTTCTTTCATGCTTAAAAGCTCGAACTCACGACGTAGTGCTTGAAGCTGAGCACGTTTCACTCTCGTTGAGCCTTGATATTTCTTCTGCATGGATTGCCAAATTGCCTACGACGTACTTTTGTCTAATATGGTTTTCAAGATCTCCCGATCAATAGCTTCGAATAGGTAATTTTTTACCTTCAAATCCCTTAGATTGGCCTCAAGCTCACTCTTACGTTGTTCCTTAGTGGATGTGGCTTCAATCACTGGTATGCCCTCTTCTACGAGCTGCCACAATTGTTTGCTTCGTAAGAAGTTCTCCATCGTCATGGACCAAAAATCATAATGGCCATCAAACTTGGTATGGGCGGTTGCATGAACTTCTCTGCAGACATCCTTTTACACGTACTGTACTCTCACACTTGAATGTTTTGTGGTTCTCTCACAACACTCTAGACTCACACTCTATACCAAGCCCCTTACGGAGCTTTGATACCAATTGTAAATACTTAGGGTATACAATATACAATATGATGGAGAATGAGAAAAAGGTGTTTTATTCAATAAACAGAGGTGGCTTATATAAGCCTTTACATTAACTGTAAAACTGAAAATGTCATACTACAATGCATTAAAATAGGCACGCACGTAACCACCTAAGACTATTTCAGTCCTATAAAATAGAAACTTATTAGTACGTGACATAAACTAAATAACAGAAACTTAATAACTTAACATTTACCAGCTTTACAGAGAGTTGTTTATAGAATTAAATAGAGAACAACGTCTTAGAGTGCTAAACAATATGAGATTAAATTAAGTTCCAAAATACTAACACACAATCAACGTTTTCTTAATAAAGGCCTTAAATAAGTCTAAAATGATTCATGTAAATGGAGGATGTAATGTGAATAGAAGGAAAAAGGATGTTGCACCTTGCATGGAGGATCTACCCAACACATTTGGTCATGATTTCTACCACAAGGAAAAAGTATTTTACGTCAGAATTTGGTAAACACTGATATTTTAAATTAATTTAATATTGTTTTTTAAGTGATTGAGTTGGATAAGGTGTTTTATTCCACCTAACCATTATATTATTGTTTGTATTGGAAGTAGGTGAACACATTAATTAAAGAATTTAATGAACACCTCGTTAATGCGTTTATACGTGTTGGTGAAGATTTGAAAATGCAAACCTATTTAAAAAAGTGGGACACAACAATAAACATTTAGGTATAATTTTTTTTTAAAGTACACAATTAATATGCACATAGAATTTGGTATATATTTTACGAAACACAGCATATTCATTTATATAAATATATATATATATATATATATATATATATATATATATGCATAAACAGTAACATGCATATACAAAGTTATTCTGTTGATACAGAAGAGCTATATGATAAGAACACTAGTCCAACATCATCACACAAGCATTATTTTAAGGGCAAGTAACTCCAATATTTATTCTCTTAATTACTTTTCTTGTTGTTGCAGCTATGCCTTCAGGAGGTGAACATCGATGTCTCTGGTGCATTTGTGCAGGTACTCCAGGTAGCCATAAGGAGGATCAACTTCTTCACCAAGCCTTTCATATTCAATGGTCCATTTTACGATACCACCATCATTCTCCTTATCAATTGCTTCAAATATGACTTTGAAAACCTTAAACCTCGGCTCGATGTCTTCACCGAATATCTTGTACGTGATTCTTTTCTTCTCTTCATCAACGGATTCAATACTCTCATGGCATCTTGTAACCTTACCATCTATTCTTTCACAAACAATTAATATCACTACAAATTAGTTTATTTTCTTTAAGAAATCAGGAATGGAGTTATTACAAGTTTAATTACCTATGACATAAGTCCAGTGCTTGATGGAGTCATTGTGATGCCAATCTTCACCTTGGTGCAGCCTGGTTCCATGAACTCTATCAGTTAGGTTTTGAACCTCATGCAGTTGCGTTGCGAAGAGGTTGAACCACTTTTCAGCAGTTGCATGAACCCCAATTTCAGTGATGATTTTGCCAAAAAGTGTCATGGTGATGAGAAAGAAACAATAGATAGAAAGAAATGAAAACAACAAGATGAGAAAGATGGTGAGAATAATTCGAGCCCATACTCCCCTTATATACAACTTAACTTACCCACTCCTCCACTCTAATTAAATTGTGGGGTCTTTAATTTACCCACTCCTTAATTTAATTGTGAGATAAAATAATTTTATAATATATAAATAGATATATTATGATATTATAGTTTCAAAATTATGGATTAAAATTCATAATAGTAAAATTTATTATTTATTTAACACATCCTTCATCTGTTATCAAAATGATTGTTGGACCGTACGTATTAATTAAAATTATCTATTAATTTTAAATGAAGAGTTAAAGCAAGGGTTTCTTTATTTGTTTATATATATAGTTTAAAGCCACAAGTTTTTCTATATCTTACGATGATTTTAAGTTATTTATTTACATTCTTTTTAAATAAAAGTACCTATTTTTTGACAATAATATTGAAGAGGAAAGTATATCTCGAAGACAATATTTTGGATTTAGTGAAAGGTAGTTTTTTCTTTTATCTGTGCGGCAAATATACACAACATGCTCTATGTAAATTGTCAGATATACTTTATGGCGTTATATATAAATCCGGTATTATTTTTGTTATGTATAGACTTTTAGGGAGAATATAGTCTAATTTTGATAATATTTTGTAATATATTGAATTTGAAGAGATGATAAATTGCATCATAGAATTTGTTCGGAAACAGAGTTATAGGTTTCAAAGTCTACTTATTTACATCCTCTAATATTTTGTGTACATAACTTGAGAAATCTTTAATATCACATTCTTTAATTTTCTTATTAGTTATATACTCCATTGTAATTTTTATCTATTAATTATTTATCAACCAGTTTAAAATTTTAATACTGTCATGACATTTTGTAACCGTACCATCTGGTCTTTCACCAGAAATCAAAAACAGTGACATAAACATTATATGAAATTAATTTATAAGAAAACAAAATTATAGCAACCAACTGGACAACAATTTTCTTTTACATATATTCTTTATAAATAGTCAAAATTTATTAGAATTATGGAACTATATGTACAAAATTTAAAGCTTTCAATAAATTTTAGCTAACATTGTGAAATAATTTCGCAATATTTATAACTATTGTAATTTAGCATTATATAGGTTTGTTGAACATTTTTAGATAAATTTTAATCGTAACCGTCTCTAAAATTTCTTTGGTTAAGAAAATATATAATCTAAACATTGTGTATGATATTGTCTGATATGAAGAGAAAGTTAATAGAGTTAGAAGAGAGAAGTTATAGTAAATACGGATAGCCATAAATTTAGAGCAGAGAGGAAATACGAAAGACAGTTAGTTAGGGGAAATTCCAAGCACCAACTAGTCTTTCACTCGTACTACCAACTAGGAGTGAATATAGTAGTTGCTGGATTCAACTTTATCACTCGTTATAATCAGAATTTAATATTTTAAAGTTTATCTTTGATTATTAATTTGTTGGATTAATTTAATTTGAGTAATTTAAATTATGAGTTAATTTGGTCGAAAATTTTGGATTATGAATATATATCAAATTAAAGTTTTTAATGAAAAATCATTTATGTTTTCGTTAAATAATATAAATATGGTAAATTTTTAACCATAAAGTGACATGTATAATAATAACAATAATTATAATGAATTATGATTTTATATAACTTAATATTAAATTTTAATATAATAGTATCATATTAAAAATATTTTTTTAAACTTGAAATATATTCACTAATTTAAATTTGGGTTGAGTCTAGTATTAATAAAATTTCAATTTGCTATCTTAATTTAATTAAAAATATTTATTTTATTCAATTTTATATTTATCTAATATTATATTTTATCCAATCCAACCCAATTATGCTCAAATTTAGTCTATCACTCCCATGTTTTATACGGGGATCATCACATTACTTAGTCCTTTACACATTACATTGTCTTTAATGATCGTATTCATAACCAGTTCAATAACCAAACAGTTAAAGTTTATAAAATATAAAAATGCAGATTAGTTTAAAATTTACACACATTTTTATCAATTTTTTATTTATTGGAAGGAGCAAGTTACAACACCTTATTTTCAAGAACTTATAATATAACTAGTGAACATAATCTCTTTAAAAAATGAAGTGAATGTTCATTAACAAACTCTATATACTTATTACGTTCTTTATAAAATAAGTCGATTTATTTTTTAGAAGAAATATATTAAAAAAACTACATCTTAAATAATATATTTTCCGAAAATATATATAAAAAATACTCGGTGTTTCCAGTCATATATAAAAACAATCAATACAATATATATAGGATTGTTAAATCTTTTCCTTTTCCTAAATATTACAACCTTACCATCATAATATAATATATATATATATATATATATATATTCCCCGCAGCCGACCAAAAACTCACTATTTCAATTAAAAAGTTTTTGGCATTCCACCCCCTATTTTTCCAAAATTCTGCCCAAACAAACCAAACAGCCGTTGTCCAGTTAAGTGGCCCCCCCCCTTTCCAACATATTTCCACAGTTGGTTTTCCCCCCAATTTCAGTGGTCCAATCAATGGCAGCAGCACCAGCCCAGATCAGATTGCAGTAGCAGCGGTCCAATTAAATTGTATCTGCAGCAAAGAGAAAAAAAATCCATACCAAATTAAAGAAAAGAAAAAAAAATTTAACAATTAAAAGAAAGATTTTTATTAAATATTTTCTAAAAAAAATATATTTTCTAATTATTAACAAAGACTAAAAATTACATCTAAAAACCTATTTTTAACTAAAATTCTATAAAACTAAAGAATTAATAAAAAAAACCTAAAACTAATCTAATTCTACAAAATTAAAGACAAAATTATGTTATCCTAGACTTCTAAACACAATTAAAAATGCAAGACTAGGGAGTTATCACTCTTCTTTACCTATAAATAAGTGAGTCATGTCTATCTAATTCTTCATTTTGAGTGTATGAAATGTTGTAGAATTTATTCCAGCCTCTAATACTCTTCAGTCACCTAAGAATTCCAAATTCTCTTATTCTCCTCTATCTTTTCTCCTTAGTAGGAAGACCTTCTAAGCTTGGAGGCATCATACACACACCATACTTTCATTCAGACTTTCATCAAACAATTACCATGCATTTTCTTTCACTACACCAACCTTCATTTCGCTGCGTTTCTGGTCATTAGAGAGTCTTCTTAGTTGAAGTTTGAAGTACTCTTCCATCATCAACTCTTCTTTGTACCTCCTCTACATATCTTCCATCTATCGTTACATGGTTCTCCACATCCATAACTGACTAGGGTGATTCTTACACTCCTGTACCACAACATTACTTGTCATGTTCCTTGTAGTTACCATAGGGTTTTGTTGGTTGTTGAATACCCGGTCCCACGGTGAGCACCAAAGTGTTTCAAAGTGTAAGGTCTAGGTCAACGTCCAACATCCAGTAGATCGTGTAAGAGTTGTTAATCTGTTTGCCAAGTGCACCAAATCGTTCAAGTAATAAACCATGGTAAGACCAGGTATCGTTTTCCCAAGAGACTCGTAATACTAGAAAATTGTGCGATTAACAAAACTCATCTAGACTCAAGAACAAACAACTCATCATTAAGAATATGTGCAAAAAGATAAATTCACAAGTAATTACAAGGTAGGACTTTGGTTATTGCAGACACTTTTGTAAAACTGGAGACGCTAGTGGTATGAAGTGACATTGTTAATGGTTAGTTTTCACCCAACACACTCTTGTGTATAACCAATTTCATCTCCTCTCTATCAATTTATAAAGTCAATCCACTAAAACACTCTAGCCCTAACTCCTTATGGTGAAAGGCTAAGTTTTCCTTATCAAATCCAATCCTGGACAATCTAACAAGCAAACCCGCATTAAACTAGATCTAAGACAACTGTGAATCAAATCCCCATCCCTAGCTCAATGACCCACAAGGACTTTGTTTCAGTTCAAGATTTCATATCCTATCCTGGCTCATGAAACCAAAAAACAAGTCATGAAGTCCCCATACATGCAAGGCTTTAAGATCGGAAACAAGAATATTAGTAATAATAGAAAAGGCATTTATAAATACGAAAACAATCATTCATTACACAAGAGTTCGTAGGCTACATCTAACTCTAACAAGATGAATCTGGTTCTCCATTTCCATGGAGAAACCCAAAGCTTACAAACAGGAAGATGGAAGAAGAAGGAGACCAAAGGAAGAAGGAGAGATGTTCCCACAAGCTCCTCACCGCCCTCCATGAGCTCCAGACGTGAAATCACGCCTCCAAAACCAAAGACCCTTTTTTCTTCTGCCTCGTGAGTATATATATTGCCCGAATTCTCGCTTAAGCTAAATTATTCTCGCTTAAGCGAGAATAAACTTCTTGGAGAAGATAGTCATTCTCCCTTAAGCTAAATTATTCTCGCTTAAGCGAAATGACTTTTAAATCAATGACTTCCTGGATCACCGAGGCTCCTCAATGTAATGGAGGATCTTCCTAACATCGAAATAGATCAAAAAGACAAGGGATTAAAATATTATTTACGTAATGTAGCTCAAAATATAGATAAATATTAAACTAATAAAAGAGGGATTTAAGCAAGTAATAAGCTAAAGAAGAGTTGATTTTGCTACTAAATGAGCTTAGATAATGGTAAGAATTAGCATTATCAAGAGTCCAACGTTGTCTTTAACTCAAAGTCTTCTCGTAATTGTTTATCCAAAACTGTTTGAAGGGTATTGTAGAAGGCACTCTGATGCCAAAGTTAGTTTAACGTTTGATAATTTAGATATTAAAGGTACAATAAATGCAATCACCTACCTCCCTACCTCAAACTTATATTTATAAATTTTGGAGTGGGCTTGTGATTAACAACGGTCTAATTACGACTCCATTAATCATACTTTACCTTTAAGTTGTTCAACATTAAAGTTAATTTTCTTGATCATTGACTAATCAGATTAACTCCTCAACCGTTTGGTTTTGGTGGTAGTTTAGTCATGCATCTCGATGCTA